AATTTGCTATTTATATAAACCACATTTTGGTATAATAATTATTTACCATATCAACATTGAATATTATGAATGTAGAATGAAATATGTCTACAGTATGATTGGTTTGAATCATTTAATTTATAAGATTTAGGAATCAAAATTTGCAATTATTTAAAAACCCACATTGAAATTGTTTTATATCAACACACCCACATTTGAATTATTTTATACTTTAGATTCCATAGCCATATTTGCATTTGTAAAAATATTTATATACCCAAATTTTCAATTATTTTACATGCCCAACTTTTATTTTTGTTGTAAAGAAGTGTAACTTGAAACAACAGTATATCATATAAAGAGAAATAAAGATTAAAGTTATATCATGAATATATGTCATGATTTGTAAAACTCAGAACTGTCAAGTAAATTTAAGACACGATTCAAAATGTTCAGAATATGTCAAGCCATTCTGAGAAAAAATAAGAATGTCGAGAATATGTCGAGAAATTTCAAGACAGTATTCAAATGTCAAGAATTTGTCAAGAAATTTTAAGACCATATTCAGAATGTCGAGAATATGTCGAGTAAATTTCATACAAATTTAATATAAATGAGAATTTGTCAAGAAAAATTAAGACACAAGTCATACTTTTGGAGAATGTCGAGTAAAAGTTCATGCAAATTAAGACAAAAACTGGTCTTTTCAGACTTTTAGACTTTTGTAGTGAAGATGGCCGCTAGGGGGGGGGGGGGGGGGGGGCTTAGTTTAACATAGGACCCTATTGGAAATACATACAAATGTCTTCTTTTAGAGTACCACTGAATGGAATGAAACCAAACATGGCATGAATGTTCCTTATGAAGTGCTGACCAAGTGTTGCTACTTTGTTGCCGATTTACTGTTCAAGATGGCCACCAGGATATTTTATTAAATAACGGGACCAATATTAATCAAAATTTGGCCTCAATCATTATTTGGGTATCTGTTATGATTTTTATCTATCTTTACATGATTTCTAAAACCAAAGTAGAGTCAGGTGAGCGACACAGGCTCTTGAGAGCCTCTGGTTTTTCTTAGTGTTACGCCCCTTTGAACTTATTTGCTTCAATGTACTACTGCAACAGTTTGTCATTGCAACTCTTCTGAAACCACACTACAGAATTTCATGATACTTTGTAGATAATAAGGACATACTACGTAGATGTGCATATCGACAGGAAATTATGATTCAATTTTTTTTCTAGGAGTTACGCCCCTTTGAACTTATTTGCTTCAATGTACTTTTGCAACAGTTTGTCATCGCAACTCCTCTGAAACCACACAACAGAATTTCATGAAACTTTGTAGATAATAAGGACATACTATGTAGATTTGCATATTGACAGGAAATTATGATTCAATTTTTTTTTCTATACAATTTTTTTTTCTTACACTTATTTTATTTCTCCAATGACAATGTGGAGACGTGGGGTATGTGAGCGCGCTCACTAAGGTTCTTTAATTACATTATTAATTATTAAATATGTAATGTTAGAGTACTATATTAAACCATAGTTCTGTTCAAAAGAATAACCCTTCAGATTTGCAAGTATGATTTTCATTATTAATTAGATCTGGGAAATATCTAAGCATATGATAATCATTGGAGTGACAGATTTATTTGAAAATTTTCTGTTTCCGGATAAGATCTGTAGGACTGTATATATAAAGTTTGAAATTTACTAGAAGGACTGTATAAATGGAGTTTGAAATTAACTGTTCATTATTAGACATTTTGTAGATAATTAAGTCTCCCTAAACCATATATTTTCTTACCCCCACCCCCCTTCAATTTGAGAATGTGCTTTTATCTTGTAAACGGTCGAGATCCCCACCCCTAAACCATATATATCCTTGTATGTGACAATAAAACAAATCAAATGAAATAAAAGGCGAGTCCCCTGGGGTCACCCCCACCTCCTCCTGTTTGAGAACTTGTAAACGGTCGTGATCCAGGGGTCACCCCCACCCCCTGCCATTTTAGAAAGTTTTAATATCTTGTAAATGGTCAAGATCCCCACCCCTAAACCATATATATTCTGGTTAGTCATGATACAGCACATTTAATGAAGTCAAGTATTAGTCCCCAGGGGTCACCCCCACCCCCTGCCATTTGAGAAAGTTTTAATATCTTGTAAATGGTTGAGATCCCCTCCCATAAACCATATATATTCCTGTTCGTCGTGTCACAAAGATTCGAATGATATATAGGGTTAGTCCCCAGGGTTCCCCCCACCCCCAATGATCTAATATCTTGTAAATGGTCGAGATCCCCACCCCTTTACCATGTATATTCTGGTTTGTCATGCCAATATGATTTGAATGATATACAGGGTCAGTCCCCAGGCATCACTAATACATATAACTTTCATGGACCAAACCAATTTTCACTGGACTTTGCCCAATGTCAGGCGACCCTGGGAATGACGAATTATGGGAGCTTCGTTTGGGAGACTTCGTAACAGCATCCTGTTACAATCAGTTCTTGTTATATATATAAAATTTGATTTAAATAATTTTAACCTGTTATCAGATTACAAAGCATATGGTCAATATCTCATCACACAATTATAATTGGAGTGACAGATTTATTTGAAAATTTTCTGTTTCCTAAGTGTTGATGATTATAAGCTATGTAGGACTGTATAAATATAGTTAGAAATTAACTGTTCATTATTAGACATTTTGAAGATAATTACAGATATGTTTTTTAGATTTTTAAAAGACATTGTATTAATGATAAATAAAATTTTGGAATTTTTTTTTACTTTTCTTTGGTAAATTGTTTGAAGAATTTTGTGGTAGGTTTGTTTTTTATTCTGTATAAAAACTAATTTTCTGAATGCTATATATTTTTTTTTGATGAAGTGAACTCCTTTAAAAACTAAGCTTATATTGTCTATTAATAAACATGTATTTAGATTTCTGATTTTGGGCCCAATTTTCAAGTTGGTCCAAATCGGGGTCCAAAATTAAACTGTGTTTGATTTCAACATAAATTGAATATATATATAAGGATCTTTGAAATGCTGAATCTAAACCTGTATTTATTTTCATTATTAATAAGTTAATACCACATTGAGGTCCAAAGGGCCCTAAATTAAACTTTTGTTTAATTTCATCAAAAATTGAATTCTTGGGGTTCTTTGATATACTGATTCTAACAATATTTTAGTGGTTAAATCATATCTAATTTTAGAGCACTATTTCTGTTGTTTAGTCATCACTGGTTCATGGAAATAAGATTGAGTTATTTCCCTTTCAACAGAAATGGTATATTTAATAGATATTGTATTAATGATAAATGACATTATGGATTTTTAACCGGATTTCGAAGGAAAAATCAGTTATTGATTTGGGGATGTACGGCGGGAGGGTGGCTGCCAAACAGTGTCTGTTCATTAACATGAAAACCCTTTGAGAAATTTTTTCAAATTTAGATATGTTGTTTCCTGTGACTGAATGAAGGTCAAGTTCAATTTTCACGATTTTAGCTTTTCTCGATGTTGAGTTATAGCCCTATCCCAAGAATTTAATTTTTGATGAAATACTTAATAATTATTGCATTTCTGTTCCAAGGGAAATAACTCAATTTTTAAAAGATTTTTAAAAGACATTGTATTAATGATAAATGACATTTTGGATTTTTAGTCCCCTAATGACGAATTCGAAGGGGACTTTAGGTTTGCAGTCTGTCTGTCCATCTGTCAGTCCAGCAAATCAGTTTTCCACACTTTTTTTCTTCATTCTTGAAGATATTGATTTGATAATGGGTATATAGTTTTATCATGACAAGTTACAGATCAAGTTCGAATTTTGTTCCGGTCTGATGATTTTGTGCAGAGTTATGATCCTTGCACTTAGAAAATTCACTCAAATAATCAGTTTTCCTCACTTTTTTTAGTCATGCTTGAAGATATTGATTTTGATAATTGGTATATAGTTTTATCATGACAAGTTACAGATCAAGTTCGAACTTTTTCCAGTCTGATGATTTTATGCAGAGTTATGGTTCTTGGACTTAAAAAATTCACTTAAAGTTTAACTTAAATAATCAGTTTTCCACACTTTTTTTCATCATGCTTGAAGATATTGACTTCATATTTGTAATATAGTTTACACCATGACAAGTTATAGATCAAGTTAGCATTTTGTTCCAGTACAATGAATTTTCAACCGGTAGGGGACTATGTATTGCCATGCAATACTCTCAGAATGCTTGTTTTTTTCTTTTATTTGGTAAATTGTTTGAAGAATTTTGTGGTAGATTTGTTTGTTTTTCTGTATAAACTAATTTTCTGAATGCTATATATATAATTTTTTTTGATGAGGTGAACTCCTTTAATTAGATAATAATCTATTTAAACATAAATTGAATATGTATAGGGCTCTTTGACATGCTGAATCTAAACCTGTATTTATTTTCATTATTAATTAGATAATACCACATTGAGGTCCAAAGGGTACTAAATTAAACTTTTGTTTGATCTCATCAAAAGTTGAATTCTTGGGGTTCTTTGATATGCTGATTCTAACAATGTTCTTAGATTTTGGATATTGGACCATAATAGGTAAATGTCCGATTTCAAATTTTTCAGTTCTTTGACCACATTCATTTTGTGTCACAAACCTATGCTGTGTCAAATATTCAATCACAATCAAAATTCAGAGCTGTTTTAAGCTTTAATGTTGTGTCCATATTTGCTCAACTGTTCATGGTTTGAACTCTGCAGGGAAATCCGGTTTGCTGTTACTCTGACAGCCTCTTGTATTAACTTCGGTTGACAGGTTGAATAGTTAAATTCCATATTTTAAATTTGTTCCAAGTCTGATTATAATTTTATATACATATATAGTTTGCTGTTAAAAGGTTGATTTTCTTTACATGAACATGCTATGTATGTTATTTTTTTACATTTGACCCATACCACAAAAAATAAAACTGCAACTTTTTAAAAGTAATGTTGTTTTTTTCCAGGTTTTGCAGCAGAAAGGATCAAGAATGTGAAGAATGCCATTGTTTATAAAATATTGACCACACCTTTTTGCGACTAGAAATTTTTAGGTTAATGACTGATATTTTGATATTGATTTTATTGTTAACTATTAATCGTCATTTTAGTGAATGTACTGTAAAAAAAAGCTTATATTTTATTTAAATAAGTCATTCTTGTAAATGTTAGATATTTTAGGAAAAAAAATCATTTTATGATTCAATTTATTTATGTCTGTCAATGTTTTGTAAGTAAGCCCTTTCTTATACGACCGCAAAAAAATTTTTGTGGTCGTATATTTGTATGACGTTGGCGTCGTCGTCGTCCGGCGTCGTCGTCGTCGTCGTCGTCGTCGTCGTCGTCGTCGTCCGGCGTCGTCCGGCGTCGTCCGAAGACACATTGGTTTTCGCACTCTAACTTTAGTTTAAGTGAATGGATCTTTATGAAATTTTACCACAAGGTTCAATACCACAAAAGGAAGGTTGGGATTGATTTTGGGGGTTATGGTAATAACAGTAAAGGAATTAGGGGCCAAAAAGAGGCCAAAAATAAGCATTTTTGTAACTTCCAGACATAACTTGTGTGTTAGTGTATTGATCTCTCTGACATTGTACCACAAGGTTCCATATCACTAAAGGAATGCTGGGATTGATTTTGGGGGTAATTGCCTCCAAATTTTAGGAATTAGGGGCCAAAAAAGGGGCAAAAAACAAGCATTTTTCTAGTTTCCAGACAATAACTTGTGTTCAAGTGTATGGATCTCTCTGAAATTGTACTGCAAGGTCCCATACCACAAAGGGAAGGCTGGGATTGAGTTTGGGGGTGATGAATCATAATGGGGGTTCAAAACATTTTGGGGGGGGATTTATTTTTTTTTCCTTTTTTTTCTTTTTTTCCTTTTTTGTTTCTTTTAAAATTTTCCATTTTAAGTTGGTTATTTCTGATTTATATTTAAAATCAAATAATAATGATATGGTAGGAGATACACTACAAACAGGATGTGTAAATTATTATATAATAAGTATTGTGCAATAGCAAGAAATTTTCAATTGCACAGTATTGCACAATAGCAAGAAATCTTCAATTGCACAGTATTGCGCAATAGCAAGAAATCTTCAATTGCACAGTATTGCGCAATAGCAAGAAATATCCAATAGCACAATATTGCGCAATAGCAAGAAATTGTCAATTGTACAGTATTGCGCAATAGCAAGAAATATTTAATAGCACAGGATTGTGCAAAAGAAGATACTTCCTATAAATTGCTTATTTCTTGACCAATTTCAATGGGGTTTTATTCTTGATTTCATGGGGTTCTTTAATATGCTGAATCTAACCGTGTATTTAGTTTTTGGATTTTGGGCCCCGTTTTTAAATTGGTCCATATTGAGGTCCAAAGGGTCCAAAATTAAACTTTGTTTGATTTCAACAAAAATTGAATATATGGGGTTCTTTGATATGCTGAATCTAACCATGTATTTAGATTTTTGATTTTTGGGCCCCGTTATCAACTTTGTCCACATTGAGGTCAAAAGGGTCCAAAATTAAACTTTGTTTGATTTCATCAAAAATTGAATTATTGGGGTTCTTTGATATGCCGAATCTAACCGTGTATTTAGATTCTTAATTTTTGGTTCCGTTTTCAAATTGGTCTACATTAAGGTCCAAAGGGTCCAAAATGAAACTTAGTTTGATTTTAACAAAAATTGAATTCTTAGGGTTCTTTGATATGCTGAATCTAAACATGTATTTAGATTTTTGATTATGGGCCCAGTTTTCAAGTTGGTCCAAATCGGGGTCCAAAATTAAACTTTGTTTGATTTCAACAAAAATTGAATATATGGGGTTCTTTGATATGCTGAATCTAACCATGTATTTAGATTTTTGATTTTTGGGCTCCGTTATCAACTTTGTCCACATTGAGGTCAAAAGGGTCCAAAATTAAACTTTGTTTGATTTCATCAAAAATTGAATTCTTGGGGTTCTTTGATATGCTGAATCTAACCATGTATTTAGATTTTGGATATTGGACCATAATAGGTGAATGTCCAATTTAAAATTTTTAAGTTCTTAGACCACATTCAATCTGTGTTAGAAACCTATGCTGTGTCAAATATTTAATCACAATCCAAATCCAAAGCTGTATCAAGCTTGAATGTTGTGTCCATACTTCCCCCAACTGTTCAGGGTTCGACCTCTGCGGTCGTATCAAGCTGCGCCCTGCGGAGCATTTTATTAATAAATGTTGGTGCTTTAATCATGTTCATTAACTAAGAGGATTTCATTCTTTCCTAAAACTAATTTTCCAAAGGCAAATAAATAAAACACCCTTAAAATTTTGCATTCATATTATGTTTTGGGGAAGTCTGCGTCGTCTTCTGAAGACATTTTGGTTTCCAGACAATAACTTGTGTATGGATCTCTATGAAATTGTAGCACATGGTTCCATACCACAATAGGAAGGATAGGCTTGATTTGGGGGATTATTTCCTACCTGTTTAGGAATTAGGGGCCAAAAAATTTGTCATCCGAAGACATTTTGGTTTCCAGACAATAACTTGAGTATAAATCTATGGATCTCTATGAAATTGTAGCACAAGGTTACATACCATAAATGGAAGGTTGGGATTGATTTTAGGGGTTATGACCCCAACTGTTTAAGAAAAAGAGCCAAAAACAATACTTTTGTAATACTTTGATTTGATTTTGATTATTTCTTGACCAATTTCAAAGGGGTTTAATTAAAAGTCTTGAAATCTTGGGGTTCTTTAATATGCTGAATCTAACCAGGATTAAGAATTTGGATTTCGGTCCCAGTTTTTGAAGTGGTCCATATTCAAGTCTAAAGGGTCCAAAATTAAACTTTGTTTGTTTCATCAAAAATTGAATTATTGGTGTTTTTTGATTTGCCGAGTCTAACCGTGTATTTAAATTTTTGATTTTGGGACCGGTTTTCAAATTGGTCTACATTAAAGTCCAAAGGGTCCAAAATTAAACTTTGTTTGATTTTAACAAAAATTGAATTCAAGGCGTTCTTTGATATGCTGAATCTTAACATGTAGTAAAATTTTTGATTTTGGGTCCAGTTCTCAAGTTGGTCCAAATTGGGGTCCAAAATTAAACTTTGTTTGATTTCAACAAAAATTGAATACATGCAGTTCTTTGATATGCTAATCTAACCGTCTATTTAGATTATTGATTTTGGGGCCTGTTATCAAATTGGTCCACATTGTGATCCAAAGGGTTCAAAATTAAACTTTGTTCAATTTCATCAAAGATTAAAATTGTTAGAGTTCTATGATATGCTGAATCTAACCATGTATTTATGTATTTAGATTTTGGATATTGGACCATACTAAGGTAAAAGTCCAATTTCAAAATTTTCAGTTCTTTGACCACATTTATTCAGTGTCAGAAACCATTGATATGTCAAATATTAAATCACAATCCAAATTCAGAGATGTATCAAGTTTGAATGTAGTGTCCATACTTGCCCCTACTGTTCAGGGTTCAGTGGAGACTTGCAATGACAGGTACCATGCCTCACTCACAACATGGAAATTCCTGGCTGCTGGCCACAGAATGAAGGTATGTTCTTCTTAATTTGATTTCATTTGAAAAGTAAAAATTAAAGATGTCTTGGTAATATGAAATAAATCCTAGCTAAAATATAATGCTTTTTTTTCAAGCACATGTACATGAACTTTTCATTGCATTTTTTGTCTCGCGTTGACAGAGTCAAAAAGGAGACCTAAGTATGCTGTTTCCAGGGGGCGGCGTCAACAATTTGTTGAATTTTGTGCTTATATCAGTTTTTGGGGATCCACTAAAGGTAAATCAATTGTATGTGTTATGCAGTTGTATAAGCATTGGCGCATCTCATTTCCATGGCTTTAAAAAATTTACATAGTTTATATGCTTAAAGTTTGTGATAATGTCAGTTAAGAGGAACAACTGATTCTATGTTTATAGTATTTAGCATTAGCACATCTCATTTCCATGGAGATAAGTTGGCCCCACCCACTCAGTCATGGTCTATTGACTTAAATTTTTGCATAGTGTACTTATTATTGGTGTGCAGGTGTTTAAGTATTGGCACATCTCATTCCATGGAGATTAGTTGGCCCCACCCCCTTAGTCATGGTCTATTGACTTTGAAACTTTTGCTTAGTTAACATGTTAAAGTTTGTGTTAAGGTCAGTTTAAGGGAAACCACTCATGATAAGTCAATGATATTTGAATGCAGTTGTATCCACATTGGCAAATCTTATTTCTAGGGAAATTATTAGGCCCTGTACCTTCAGACATGGTTCATTGACTTTGAATAATTTGCATATTTTACATGTAAAAGTATTAATGTATTGCTATTTTTATTTCAACATTTGCATTTTACTATCAAAATAACAAAGAGACGAGACATATCTCTGTGTCAACAGGTTATTCAATCATTTCATTTACATTTTTATCACTGTTGATTTACAATAATTGAAAATAATATTCTAGTGTGAACAAATTGGTTAGTGCAATTTTTCATAATATCTTAACTGTATATTAATGTCTAGGTACAGTAAATGAGCTACGTCACAGAATTTGGTAAAATATTGCATACCACTTTGGCTCACTGAACTATAGAAATTCCAACAAATAATGCATTTATCTCTTTATTTTTCTGAAATATTACTAAATGAATTCTGTGACATAGCCCATTTACTGTACCTTAACACATCATATTTATCATACATTTAAATAGTGATTTATTGCATGTAGATTTTATTAGTTTCTTGTATTGAATTTAAGTAATTAGATAAAAAATACTTGAGTATTTCTATGGATATGTATTTGTTATTTCATAGACATGAATGATTTAAGTTGTTTTATTACTCAAACATTTATAAATGCAATTGAGAAACACCCACAAATTGGTGATACTAATTTCATGGAAGTCCTGCACTTCATAAGTTTTTATTGTAATATCAAACACATTATAATGTGTAAAATGAAGCAAAGATTTATAATTATCAACTTACCAGGAGATAGTGATTTAATTCTACCTGACCCTATTTTGGTTTGTTTAACATTTGAATTGTTGACTTATGTACCATTCTTTGGTTATTGCAACTGCAAGAAATGTTTAATTGATAGGAAGCAGCACTTATTTTTTTATGAGCAACATTTTATCCCAAAAATGTGACCAAGAATTACAATGAAATTCTAGAAAGAGAAATTTCATGTGATGTAAAAGAAAAACTATGAATTCCTCTTGCTGTGAAAATGAGGAATGGAATACAAAAAAAAAATGTTCTGTCTAAATCAAATTGATGCATATTTGCAAAAATTGAGATTGTTCATAAAAAAGTTTTTTGTGTAACCATTCCTGTAAACTGTTGCTTAAAACATGTAAACACTGATCTAAACCAATATTTAAAAGTTTGGAGATTCTTAGTCCAATAGATAGAACTTAATTTTTTTCCACGTCACCTGTAACGTAATGTTAGCTTATAACCAGGGTTAGGCAATACTCCCAGAAATGGGTAATACTGGACAACATGATTTTTATTTTTACACAGAATAGTAAATAAATGTTGTAGTTTCATAGTATTATAGCTAAATACATTTTATACAGATTACCATTGAGTTATTTTCAGAGGATTAAACATTCAATTTCTTTTAATTAATTCTATGTAGGTAAAATAAAATTAAGTTTTGTTCATTTTTGGATATTTTGTTTATAACCAAGCTTTGTATCAACAATCAAAACTGTGCAGCAAATGCATTTCAGTGCAGTGTTTTAGTGAATTGTAAATTTCTATTGTTATACAATCATATTGCTAATTAAACACCCTAAGGGGATATGTCATGAACACGTGTATGTTTGGGCTAATTGGTGTAACAATTGGGCTAAAAATATGCTATGTTTGGGCCGATGGCAAGTCGCATTTGGGCTAATCCTACCATGTAAAGTATCTATATTTAATTTTATCTGTCTTCCCACTGTCTATATCACTCTGCTCAGCTCTTAATAAAATTTCATATCACGGCTTTGTGACGTCAAAAACGTTGACCCGGCCTTGATAACTTTGACCCGGACATATCAACGACGTCATAATATATGAACCGACGTTGATAAGTTTGACCCGAACTTATCAAGTCATCTTCTGGTTTGCTGGTGAAACAAAGAAAACACTAGTTTCTATCATGCAAAATTTGCAAACACAACCTAATAAATCGTTTATCTGGTTGTCTGTATAATTATATTGTAAAATATCAGATGCTCGACACAATATGAAGCCTTTTTAAACTCGTTCGCTACGCCAACTCGACAAAAAACTTCATATTGTGACTCGCAGCTGATATTTTACAATATCAATATGCAGACAACCTGATAATCGGTACATATACTAATATTCTAAATGTAATAAATGACATTCTATTTATATAGTTTTCTTGTCTTATGTACCCATTTCGTTTGCCAGACAGTGTCTGCTCCTTGCTCACCACAGAATTGTGACAGTTAAATTTAGGGTAAGACAAGTCGTTGTAGCGCTAGATATCGTTTAAACTATAAACAACACATGAAATATAAAACAGCTATGTTAAGATATAATCAAAGTACTGAAGTACTGAATATCAGATGACCGCAAGTTCTTGTGGATGGTCACAAGCACTTGTCACAGAAAAAAAAATCACATCTCTATACCTGAAAGTGAGGTTAAGGTAAATAGATATATTTTTTTCAGAGACAAGATAGTGCATGGATGATGAATAAATGACAGGGAATTCAACCTCACCGTAATAACTATTTTATTGTAGTGATACAAATCAGTATACTCTGGTTTGTTGTAATATATTATATTAATATTTGTATATAACAGTTACATGTATATATAATTTTCATCCATTTGTATATCATTCTATTCTACTATTCTAATAATAGTGCAGTGCAAGTGCATGGTGGACACTCTTCTGTAATAATTCGATTTTTCTAAGAGATTGGATTTCCAGCAAAACGTTCTTGAGATATTCTTCTGCATGTGTTAACTCAAATTTTCGGTATTCTTGATTTGTTATTGATATATATATATTTCTCACGACAAAACATTTTCATATCATTTATCTATGTTCTTAAAAATTATTTTCATGAATATTTATTGATGAAGTTGATGTATAACAAGCGATAAGGAATGTTATTTTGCTTTCGGTTATCAGTCAAAAACGAAAGTCACGTGGGTAGAAATGTCTGGCAACAATACACCGGAATACCCTCAAGGTCATCCGATGTAAAAAAAAGTACATCCAATAGATTTTTCTCAAAGATTGGTTTTGGTCTTTTGAATTTAAATCTAACAGTTTTTTATACGACCGCAAAAAATTTACGTTCGTATACTAGTATTGCTATCACGTCGTCGTCGTCTGAATCTCTATGAAATTAAACCAAAAGGTTCAATACCACAAAAGGAAGGTTGGGATTGTTTTTGGGGGTGATGGTCCCAACCGTTTAGGAATTAGGGGCCACAAAGGGGCCCAAAACAAGCATTTTTCTAGTTTCAGGACAATAACTTGTGTATAAGTATTTTGATTGCTCTGAAATTGTACCACAAGGTTCAATACCACAAGTAGAAGTGGGATTCATTTTGGGGGTAATTGCCCAAACCGTTCAGGAATTAGGGACCAAAAAGGGGCCAAAACAAGCATTTTTCTAGTTTTCAGACAATAACTTGTGTTTAAGTGTATGGATGTCTCTTAAATTGTACCACATTTTACAAAGAGAAAATTTCTTCAAATATTATTTTTTCTGGAAAAGGGAGGGGGGGGGGGGGCAATTTTTTTCCCTCAAGATTTAAGAACTTATCAATTTTCCATTATTATTTTTGGAGGAGGGGAGTTTTTTTGAGGGGGGTCAAATTTTTTTCCTCAATATTTAAGAAAATATCATTTTTTCCCAAAAAAAATTGTGGGGTCACAATTTATTTTTGCTAATGCTTTGTATATAGTCTGAAAACATATTTACTAAGTATAACGCAACAGCACAGTGTATTGCACAACAGCAAGAAATCTTTAATTGAATATAAATTTAAATCATTTAACCAATTTCAAGTTCTTTGACTACATTTATTCTGTGTCAGAAACCTATAATGTGTCAAATATTTAATTACAATCCAAATTCAGACCTGTATCAAGCTTAATATTGTGTCCATTTTTGCCCCAACTGTTCAGGTTTGGACCTCTGCGGTCGTATCCAGCTGCACTCGGTGAAGCACATTTTTAACACTGTAATATTGTGATACTAAGTACTGTTATACTGTCTGATCTTCACTGTAAACTGTTTTCAATTAAATGGTGCCAAACTTCAAGTTCTTTTCTTTTCAAACTAGCATGGTTTCCCAATGACTGGATTTTTATAGAGGTTGTATTTTTATCTTATTTGTTTGTATTCAACCTCTTATATATTCCATTTTGATATTGATAAATTCTACCTGTAATTTACCTGTACGGGTTAAGAAAATAATTAACCTAAATGTAAACTTGACTTCAAAATTTTTAGCCCAAATGATACCATGGTCACACTCATGATTTATCCCAAATATCTTGCCCCCAAATAAAAGGATGATTATTGTTATATATAAATAAATATGTGTTATAATCTGAATAATTACTTATTAATTAGTGATGTACATGTAAGTATGCTAAAATTTGTAATTTTTGTCGAGCCTGCAAAATTTATTTTGCGAAAGCGTGACATAGCGATCCTAGATTCCATCGGCGTCGTCAACATTTAGGTGCAGTATGTGGTTTAAGTTTTTTTAGTCATCAATAACTTTGTCAACCCTACATGGAATTTTATCAAATTTGGACTGAGGCTTGTTTATGACGAAAAGACAGTATCCAGAGCAAAATTTTGAAAATATTTAGTTTCAGTTCTCTGTATTTCACTGATAAATGGACTTTTTTAAGTTTTTATTACAGTTTACAAGTATATACAGTCTAGGGTTCAGCTTTGAAAATTTTGACCCTGTCCAGCATCTACCTGGTCATCATAACTCCTCCTTTATGGTTTATCATATTTACATAGTAGATGGTACATTGTTATATCAAGGGGTTGTATCTAATAAGCATATGTGCATGAGAAGCATGTTCAAGTCTAGTTTTTCGAGATCAATGCCTAGAAAAATTTGTCTAGCTTCTACCTCATTATATATATATGAAACTTTGTTGGGTTGCAAATATGCATGTACTTAGGATGCGCATGTATCTGCAATAACATCGAATATAGCAGTAGAAAAAGTAGTTCAAACCATGTCCTTTTGTGATTATTCAAATTCAGAAGCTACACACTATTGTTATGCATTTTATGTGTTGGTTGTGTTCTTATATCATTGAATTTCAGTCACAAATGTATAAATGTTATCAGTGTAATATAGGAATTAGTCTCCAGTAAATATGGACAATTTTATAAAGTCTATTATCAATAGATAGATGAATTCAATTAAGAATTAAAATTTATCGTATTGCCACTAGATAACAATTTTTCAGGAATTTTCGGTTTCTGTATCTTTTTGCCTATAACATATACATATTAAATATTATTTAACAAAATATTAAATTTTCATGATTTCTGTATTTGGCACCTTTTGTACTTTCGTCATGTAATAATGTTTTATAAATTAGATTTATGAGAGAATCTTGTTTTCAGATTAAATTTTTGTCAAGCCTGCAACACTTATGTCATGAAAGCGAGACATAACGGTCCTTGATTCCGTCGTCGGCGTCAACATTAAGGTTCATTCTGTTGTTCAAGTTTTTTTGGACATCAATAACTTTGTAAAACCTTAATGGAATATTATGAAATTTTGATAGAAGCTTGTTTATGGCCAAAATATAGTATCCAGATCAAAATTTTGAAAATATTTATTTTCATTTTTTACCGGATTTTCGAAGGAAAAATCTGTAATTGATTTGGGGATGTACGGCCGGCGGGCGGGCGGGCTGCTGCCAAACAGTGTCCGTTCAATAACATAAAAACCCTTTGACGATTTTTTTTCAAATTTAGATATGTTGTTTTCTGTGACTAAATGAAGGTCAAGTTCAATTTTCACGATTTTAGATTTACTCGTTGTTAAGTTATAGCCATTTTCCAAGAATAAAATTTTTGATGAAATTCTTAATAATTACTCCATTTCTGTTCAAAGGGAAATTACTAATTGTTTAAAAGATTTTTAAAAGACATTGTATTAATGATAAATGACATTTTGGATTTTTTTTCTTCTTTTCTTTGGTAAATTGTTTGAAGAATTTTGTGTTAGGTTTGTTTGTTATTCTGTATAAACTAATTTTCTTAATGCTATATATATAGTTTTTATTTGATGAAGTGAACTCCTTTAATTAGATAATTTTTTATTAAAGGATATATTTCATTACATTACCTTGTGTAGATAAAGTTATTGACATTGATAGATAAGTTGCAGATCTATATTAGTTTGTGACAATGAAAGAAAAAATATTTGGAACTATTAATTATATGAATATAATTTGAAAATAGATGTAAATTGTGTAACATCATATCTAATTTTAGAGAACTATTTTTATACGACAGCAAAAAAATTTTTGTTGTCGTATATTGGTATGACGTTGGCGTCGTCGTCGTCGTCGTCTTCGTCCGAAGACACATTGGTTTTCGCACTCTAACTTTAGTTTAAGTGAATGGATCTCTATGAAATTTTACCATAAGGTTCAATACCACAAAAGGAATGCTGGGATTGATTTTGGGGGTAATTGCCTCCAAATTTTAGGAATTAAGGGCCAAAAAAGGGGCAAAAAACAAGCATTTTTCTAGTTTCATGACAATAACTTGTGTGTAAGTGTATGGATCTTTATGAAATTGTACTACAAGGTTCCATATAACAAAGGGAAAGCTGGAATTGAGTTTGGGGGTAATTGCCCAAAACGTTTATGAATAAGGGGCCTAAAAGGGGCAAAAAAACAAGCATTTTCTAGTTTCAGGACAATAACTTGTGTGTAAGTGTATGGATCTTTATGAAATTGTACTACAAGGTTTCATATCACAAAGGGAAAGCTGGGTTTGAGTTTTTGGGTAATTTCCCTAAACGTTTAGGAATAAGGGGCCAAAAAGGGTTAAAAAAACAAGCATTCTTCTAGTTTCCAGACAATAACTTGTGTTCAAGTGTATGGATCTCTCTGAAATTGTACTGCAAGGTACCATACCACAAAGGGAAGGCTGGGATTGAGTTTAGGGGTGTTGAATCATAAGGGAGTTCAAAAATTTTGGGGGGGGATTTTTTTTTCCTTTTCTTTCTTTAAAATTTTCCATTTTAAATTGGTTATTTCTGATTTATATATAAAAGCAAATAATAATGATTTGGTTTGAATAGGTAAATTAAAATTTTTTAAGTTCTTAGACCACATTCATTCTGTGTCAGAAACCTATGCTGTGTCAAATATTTAATTACAATCCAAATTCAGTGCTGTATCAAGCTTGACTGTTGTGTCCATATTTGCCCCAACTGTTCGGGGTTCGACCTCTGCAGTCGTATCAAGCTGCGCCCAGCGGAGCATTTTATTTAGTGGTTAAATCATATCTTTGATTATAATTTGAAAATAGATATATATAACATCATATCTAATTTTGGAGAACTGTTTTGTAGTGATTAAATCATATCTAATTTTAGAGAACTATGTATTTAACATTTATTCAGTTTGAGTTATTTTCCTTTGAACAGAAAATTATATTGATAAAATTAAACTATGTTTCATTTCAACATAAATTAAATATATATATAGGGTTCTTTCAAATGCTGAATCTAAACCTCGTTTCTAAATATTAGATTTTTGGGCTCAGTTTTCAAGTTGGTCCAAATCAGGGTCCAAAATTAAACTTTGTTTGATTCAACAACAATTGGGTTCTTTGAAATGCTGAATCTATAACCATGTATTTACAGATTTTGGATTGTGGGCTGCTTTAACAAATTGGTCCATATTGAGGTCCAAAGGGTCCTAAATTAAACTTTTGTTTGATTTCATCAAAAATTAAATTCTTGGGGTTCTTTGATATGCTGATTCTAACAATGTACTTAGATTTTGGATATTGGACCATAAATAGGGAAATGTCCAATTTCAAATTTTTCAGTTCTTTGACCACATTCATTTTATGTCACAAACCTATTCAGTGCCAAATATTCAATCACAATCCAAATTCAGAGCTGTTTTAAGCTAAATGTAGTGTCCATACTTGCTCAACTTTTCAGGGTTCGACCACTGCAGGAAATCCGGTTTGCTGTCACTCTGACAGCCTCTTGTTCCGTATTTTACTAATAAATGGACTTCAGTTTTTATACGACCGCAAAAATTTTTGCGGTCGTATATTGATATGACGTTGGCGTCGTCGTCGTCGTCGTCGTCGTCGTCGTCGTTGTCGTCGTCGTCCGGCGTCGTCCTGCGTCGTCCGAAGACACATTGGTTTTCGCACTCTAACTTTAGTTTAAGTGAATGGATCTCTATGAAATTTTACCATAAGGTTCAATACCACAAAAGGAAGGTTGGGATTGATTTTGGGGGTTATGGTACCAACAGTTAAGGAATTAGGGGCCAAAAATAAGCATTTTTGTAACTTCCAGACATAACTTGTGTGTTAGTGTATGGATCTCTCTGACATTGTACCACAAGGTTCCATTTTACAAAGGGAATGCTGGGATTGATTTTGGGGGTAATTGCCTCAAAATATTAGGAATTAGGGGCCAAAAAAGGGGCAAAAAACAAGCATTTTTCTAGTTTCATGAAAATAACTTGTGTGAAAGTGTATGGATCTTTCTGAAATTGTACTACAAGGTTCCATATCACAAAGGGAAAGCTGGAATTGAGTTTGGGGGTAATTGCCCGAAACGTTTAGGAATAAGGGGCCAAAAATAAGCATTTTTCTAGTTTCCAGACAATAACTTGTGTTCAAGTGTATGGATCTCTCTGAAATTGTACCACAAGGTTCCATATCACACAGGGAATGCTGGGATTGATTTTGGGGGTAATTGCCTCAAAATTTTAGGAATTAGGGGCCAAAACAGGGCCAAAAAACAAGCATTTTTCTAGTTTCATGACAATAACTTGTGTGTAAGTGTTTGGATATTTCTGAAATTGTACTACAAGGTTCCATATCACAAAGGGAAAGCTGGAATTGAGTTTGGGGGTAATTGCCCGAAACGTTTAGGAATTGGGGGCCAAAAAACACATTTTTCTAGTTTCCAGACAATAACTTGTGTTCAAGTGTATGGATCTCTCTGAAATTGTACTGCAAGGTACCATACCACAAAGGGAAGGCTGGGATTGAGTTTGGGGGTGATGAATCATAAGGGGGTTCAAAAAAATTGGGGGGGGGATTTTTTTTTTTTCCTTTTTTTTTTTCTTTTAAAATTTTCCATTTTAAGTTGGTTATTTCTGATTTATATTTAAAAGCAAATAATAATGATATGGTAGGAGATACACACCAAACAGGATGTGTAAATTATCATATAATAAGTATTGTGCAATAGCAAGAAATTTTTAATTGCACAGTATTGCACAATAGCAAGAAATCTTCAATTGCACAGTATTGCGCAATAGCAAGAAATCTTCAATTGCACAGTATTGCGCAATAACAAGAAATATCCAATAGCACAATATTGCGCAATAGCAAGAAATTGTCAATTGTGCAGTATTGCGCAATAGCAAGAAATATTCAATTGCACAGTATTGTGCAAAAGAAGATACTTCGTATAAATTGCTTATTTCTTGACCAATTTCAAAGGGGTTTTATTTTTGAATTCTTGGGGTTCTTTAATATGCGGAATCTAACCGTGTATTAAGTTTTTGGATTTTAGGCCCCGTTTTTAAATTGGTCCACATTGAGGTCCAAAGGGTCCAAAATAAAACTTTGTTTGATTTCATCCAAAATTGAATTATTAGGATTCTTTGATATGCTGAATCTAAACATGTATTTAGATTTTTGATTATGAGCCCAGTTTTAAAGGTGGTCCAAATCGGGGTCCAAAATTAAACTTTGTTTGATTTCAACAAAAATTGAATATATTGGGTTCTTTGATATGCTGAATCTAACCATGTATTTAGATTTTTTGATTTTTGGGCCCCGTTATCAGCTTTGTCCACATTGAGGTCAAAAGGGTCCAAAATTAAACTTTGTTTGATTTCATCAAAAATTGAATTCTTGGGGTTCCTTGATATGCTGAATCTAACCATGTATTTAGATTTTGGATATTGGACCATAATAGGTGAATGTCCAATTTTAAATTTTTAAGTTCTTAGACCACATTCATTCTGTGTCAGAAACCTATGCTGTGTCAAATATTTAATCACAATCCAAATTCAGAGCTGTATCAAGCTTGAATGTTGTGTCCATACTTGCCCCAACTGTTCAGGATTCGACCTCTGCGGTCGTATCAAGCTGCGCCCTGCGGAGCATTTTATTTATAGTTATCTTTCAAATTAATCTAAGGTTAAAGTTTTTCAGTCACCAATAACTTTGTCAAACTTTCATGGAATTCAATGAAATTTGGACAGAAGCTTGTTTATGACTAAAAGACTGTATCCAGAGCAAAATTTAGAAAATATTTATTTTCATTTCTCCGTATTTCACTGATAAATGGATTTAGTTTTTATTACAGTTAATAAGTAGATACAGTCTGGGGTTAATGTTTGTTACACATCAATTACTTTGTCAAATCTTCATACATGTAGAATTTTCTGAAACTTTTTTTATGATTTAGAGATAATGCTTAAGCAAACTTTTGATAATATATATTTTCATTTTCAGTATTTGTCTGATAGGTGGACCTAGTTTTTTTTGCAGTTAACATTTACAGACAGTCTGGGATTACATTTTTGTCGAGCCTTCGACTTTAGTCGAAAAAGCGAGACATAGCGATCCTACATTCCGTCGGCGTCGTCGTCGTCGTCGTCGTTGTCGTCGGCGGCGCCCACAAATATTCACTCTGTGGTTAAAGTTTTTGAAATTTTAATAACTTTCTTGAACTATCCTGGATTTCTACCAAACTTGGACAGAAGCTTGTTTATGATCATAAGATAGTATCCAGAAGTAAATTTTGTAAAAATAAAATTCCTGTTTTTCCGTATTTTACTTGTAAATGGACTTAGTTTTTCTGCCAGGAAACATTACATTCACTCTGTGGTTAAAGTTTTTAAAATTTTAATAACTTTCTTAAACTATCCTGGATTTGTACCAAACTTGGACAGAAGCTTGTTTATGATCATAAGATAATATCCAGAAGTAAATTTGTTAAAAAAAAAATTCATGTTTTCCGTATTTTACTTATAAATGGACTTAGTTGTTCTGCCAGGAAACAATACATTCACTCTGTGGTTAAAGTTTTTAAAATTTTAATAACTTTCTTAAACTATCCTGGATTTGTACCAAATTTTGGACAGAAGCTTGTTTATGATCAAAAGCTAGTATCTAGAAGGAAATTTTGTTAAAATTTGTACCTGTTTATCCGTATTTTACTTATAAATGGACTTAGTTTTTCTTCCAGTTAACATTAAATACAGTCTGCAGTTAAAGTTTTTAAAACATTTATTAGATTCATAAACTATCCTGGATTTATACCAAACTTTGACAGAAGCTTCTTACAATCAAAAGATAGTATCTAAAGGAATATTTTTATTGATTTTTTTCCTCATTTTTGTTGAGCCTGCAATTAACAGCAAAAGTAAGCGAGACACTGGGTTCCGCGGAACCCTTACGAATTTTTTAACATGATAAATTTGTAAACCGTCTTTGATTTTTATGAAACTTAGACAGAAGCTAAATCTTCATGACAAAGAAATTAAATCTAAAGAAAAGGTTTGATTTTTTTGTAAATTCTGTATTTTGCTTATAGATGGACTCACCTTTCAAGTCAACATTACACTTTTACACTGACCACAGTAATCGAAAGAGAGACACAGGGTTCCTCGGAACCCCTTACAAATTTTATTTTAGAATAAAGTACTTGAATTGTTACATCCTTTATCACAGAGTCTGTCCTTTCATCAGATCATAAAAAAGTTTCATATTACTCAGCTTCAGTAGATAAGAATGATTTGATATTTGGTCAAGAACTTTATAGACGAGACCATTAATTTCTATAATTCCCACTGAGCTAGGAATTTGTCTCTTTATATTACTCAACCTCTGTATTAAGGAATGGTTTGCGTTGTTGTCTGAAACATTATAATTTTGATTTGTACATTGTAATTGGTTTTCATATCTGATGGGCAGATACTTACAGTATTTGCCAGTGAATGTAGCTTTTCAACCTTTTTCTCTATGTGGTAAATTATAGGCGATAGAGAAAAGGTAAAAAGTAAAAAATGATCAGCAAGACAGATTTAGTCATGAATTATATTTTAGTCTACATTGTTGGAGGGTGGCCATTATTAAAGAGAGGTGAAAGATACCAAAGGGATATTCAAACTCATAAGTGGAAAACAAACTGACAATGCCATGGCCAAAAACGAAAATCAAAGAAAAGACAAACAGTAGTACTACTTTTAGTTTTTGCCTAATATTTTGAAAACTTTAATGGATATATAACTTTTAATAGCCAAAATGATCCACAAGGTACGATCTACGCAGAAGTCATCATGGCCGAATGTCGAATGTAAGTGTCTAATAACAAGTTTGGGTAAACTTTACACCACATTGCATGCAGCTTCTTTTTGTTTCTGACTCGCATACTGTCAATTATCTCCAATGACTTTTTTTATGTTTATGAAATTTTAACCTTTGTGTTGTCAAATATTTATTTGGTCTCTCTAATAGACAAATGTTGGAAAATGCTAGATATATGGATGCTCCATATTTCAGAAGGTAGAAGACCTGGATACTTTATATCTTGTATACTGATTCTTTTCTTCTGAATTTCTGTCTTGCATATTAGTTGCCCTTCACAGCATTTTTATGGTTCAGCGACTGCTTGAAAAAAAAAACTAGTTTTTGTCGAGCTTGCGACATTTGTCGCAGAAAGCTCGACATAGGGATAGTGATCCGGCGGCGGCGGCGGCGTTAGCTAACTCCTTAAAAGCTATATATTTTAGAAGGTGGAAGACCTGGATGCTTCATACTTTGTATATGCATGCCTCATGTTACGAAGTTTTCGTCAGTCACATGTCCAATGTCCTTGACCTCATTTTCATGGTTCAGTGACTACTTGAAAAAATAGTTAACATTTTTTGTAATGTTAAATTTTCTCTTATTATAAGTAGTAGGATAACTATGTTTGGTATGTGCGTACCTTGCAAGGTCCTCTTGTCCGTCAGACAGATTTCACTTGACCTCGACCTCATTTCATGGATCAGTGAACAAGGATAAGTTTTGGTGGTCAAGTCCATATCTCAGATACTATAAGCAATAGGTCAAGTATATTCGGTGTATGGAAGGACTGTAAGGTGTACATGTCCAACTGGTAGGTGTCATCTGCCCTTGACCTCATTTTCATGGTTCAGTGGTTATAGTTAAGTTTTTGTGTTTTGGTAATTTTTTCGTATACTGTATGCGATAGGTCTACTATATTTGGTGTATGGAATGATTGTAAGGTGTACATGTCTTGCTGGCAGGTGTCATTTGACCTTGACCTCATTTTCATGGTTCAGTGGTCAAAGTTAAGATTTTGAGTTTTGTTCTTTTTTTCTAATACTATATGCAATAGGTCAACTATATTTGGTGTATGGAAATATTTTATGATCCATATGTCAGTCGCGCAGGTTTTATTTGACCTTGACCTCATTTTCACAGTTCATTGCTCAGTGTTAAGTTTTTGTGTTTTGGTCTGTTTTTCTTAAACTATAAGCAATAGGTCAACTATATTTGTTGTATGGAAGAATTGTTAGCTGTACATGCTTGCCTGGCATGGTTCATCTGAACTTGACCTCATTTTCATGGTTCATTGGTCAATGTTTAGTTTTCTTGGTTAATGTTAAGTTTATGTGACAGTTGTAATAAAGCTTTATATTCAGGACTATCAACATAATATCAGTGATTAGTAAAGAAGGCGAGACATTTCAGCGTGTGCACTCTTGTTTATCATGTTATTTTTTTTCAGTTATTCTATGAGTAGTAAGTAAGACAAATCATTAAGTTTTCTGGTGATTAAATCCTTTTCTCAGATATTATAATAGTCAGGATCCTACTTCGTTAAAATTATCTCCCCATTACGCCACCAATGTTTTCAGTCGTATAAATTGAAACCATTTTAGGAATGACACGCTGTCAATTTAGCTTTTGAAAACCAATAAATTTATACACATAGCATCTTTACGATCCTTATATGCCAGTTGTATTTTAAAAAACATTTAGTGTATCTACTACACTGTAAATCTAAGTGTTAATAAATAGAACACAGCTTGAACGCTTTTTTGTAACACTTTTTGAACGTGTAATGGTGTTCCAAATGTTTACACTAGTGTTCATCAATTGAATGTGTGGTGTTCAGTTTTTAATGCCTTTGTGTTTCATTTTTGAACACTTGATGTTAGAGTTCTTAACACTTAGTGTTCAACGATTTAACGTGTCCGAATGTTCAAAATCTTAATACGTCGACGTGTTCAACAGCCATGTAACACTTTTTGAACACATAGAACATGTTTAAAGCCAAAGTGTTAAGATTCAGAACACCAGACGTTAACTTTCAGAACAGTTGACATAAGTGTTCAAAGTGATGGTGTTCAAATGTGGAACATGTTCTATTTTCAAGCGTACATAATTTTCCATAAGTACTCAACTTAAATAAACTGTTATAAAAACTATATTCAATCAGGCAAAATATAACAATAAAACATATTTTAACAAGTAATTCTTTATGTAATCAAATGAGCATAGTGTATGTAAGAAAAGTACACCAGATACCTTTTGATATCACAAGTAACAGTCAGTGAAATCACATACATAATGTTTTTAAACTGACTTAAATATATATCACAAATAATGATTTTCCCCTATATGACTAGATAGTTGCAACATCATTTGTAACCTAACCAAAAAAGCATGTCAATGTGATAATTAGATAGTTTATGATATAGGTATTTGTCACAATGAAAGTTTAAAAGTTTGCAAATTCCAACAGTTCTTGTACGATCAAATACAATGTACGCTCCACTTTTCAGTGCATCTTCACTTAAAGCTATCAACTGGGTGGCATTTTATGTGTTGTTATCAACTTCCAATGTCAAAATCCTCCACAACAAGGAATGTCTATGAGCCTATATATCCTGCAAAATAAAATAAAAAATTAACAGAAGAGAGTTTTTCATAAAGCATCAAATTATGCAATGCTTGTTATGCTTTAATGTCGATATATACTAGTGTACAAATTGATATTCTATAGCAATGAAATGCAAGTTTTGACATTATAAATTACAAAAGTCGATTTCTTGACTTAAGGTGAACAGATAGAAATGATACACCCACATAAGCTATTAATATACATATTTTGTCGTACCTTTTTTCGACATCTTTCTTTTTTCCACCACTTTATAGCATGCAGAAATGACCTTTTTGGGATTATTGGCTACCGGTTCCTAATTCAAACATTTTAATCTAACGATTCCTGCAAATAAAAAAAACAAATGCATTTTCTAAGTCAAAAATGGTGTTCCAAATGTTTGCACTAATGTTCATCAATTGCATGTGTGGTGTTCAGTTTTTAATGCCTTTGTGTTTCATTTTTGAACACTTGATGTTAGAGTTCTTAACACTTAGTGTTCATCAAATGAATGTGTGGTGTTCAGTTTTTAATGCCTTTGTGTTTCATTTTTTAACACTTGATGTTAGAGTTCTTAACACTTAGTGTTCAGCTAATGTATGTGGATGTCGAAAATCATCATTTATTCTGTATAACAGACCGACTGTTTGTTCATCAGTTTAGGAAATCATCAGAACAAAGCTGACAGTTATTTACGTTTATATCTAAAACCCGTTTTTTGATTCGTCTTTTATGTTGAATATTGAAAATTTGGATATAACAGTTATGAATATTTGACAAATATATATCTGACATGAGAAAATAACAAGGAAGCCATCGAACTACTTATGAAGATTATTCTAACTTGTTACTTCTTTCGTGTTCATATGGGATAGAAGTCCCTTCTCCAGTTCTCTTTCTTATGTGTATCCATTCTTCGTTTAACCGCCTAAATCCCCAGCCGATATCTGTTTCCGGTATTTGGTATCCTGGTATATTTTTTTTAACACGAGGTGTTCAAAATTTCGAGCGATTTGAACACTGATTGAACATGTAATGTTAATAAAATGAACGGATCATGAAATAAGATAAACATCGACATATTTTTATTACGATATTATCATAACAGGCCTCATTAATATGCATAATTATGTCACTGTACTGGCCGGACCAGCGAGTTTAACCAAGATGACTGGGTTTATGTAAAGATAAAACAATCAGGAGCTGACTTTTATTTCACTACCAATCCAAATGGTGAAAAACTGAAAATACAAATAAAAATACAATTTTACAATGTGTTCAATGATAATTAAAATCCATTAAAAATACGGATAAACAGTTCGTAGATTTATAAAGCTGTTAATGTTCTTTATAATAATAAATAGATGAATATTCTTGCACACGTCGGGTTCTGTCTGAATTAAATTGTGTAATCGCAGATACGAACAGTTTGAACGGTTAAATGTTCATAGTTTCTTTATAACATAGGAAAACATATTAAAACAGTTCATCGCTGATGTAAAGACATAATTTGTAATGTTTTAAAGGTAACTCACGCTGTGGTTAGCCACGAATTGTTCCTTTGGACAACGTGTCCGCTGAATGTTCCTTGCAGTTGTGCACACGGCCTGCTGAGCAGTTTTCGTCACTCAGAAGAGAGGGGAAAGTAACATGGGTTCCTACACTGTCCTGTATAAAACTCCTAAAACTGGAGCATATAAAGTGATGTACGCAATGAAACATAAACAATGTAAAATGATGATCACATGAAGAACAAATGATGAATGAGGTCCAGAACACTCCCCGTCTGAGGTCTATCTGACATCACTATTCCATTATTAAAACAAATAAAATGCTAAATATATAACAGCCGTCCAAGGTTCCACTTATATGAACTTGAAAGTAATCCAACGGGAGGCTGGGTATTTCACAGCTTCTTTCCTAGATAAGGTGGTGTTTCCGACGAGATCGCGGCGATCTAAGATCCAATTCCATGGCTGTAGTTCTGATGGATGAATCTCCTTTCGACACAGATATGCGATCCAACGGGGATGTCTTGCAAAACGGACGCTTCCCTTTACGTTTACGGCATACAGTAGACCAGCCGGTGCCATGTTCCTTTTCTCTGTGACTTAAGTCCGAATTGTCTATTCTACTTTCCTCTTGTCCTTGCGTATCCAAAGGCAAATTGAAGCTTTCCTTGGGAATTGAATCTTTTCGGATGTACTTTTCTTTGTCGGCATTCACTTTTAGTGATGTTGCTTCCGAAATGAACTTTTCGTCTTCTGCAAATTTGACGATCGAAGTCGCTGATTTCGTTTTTGGTTGCCCATGTAAACGGGGATATTGTTTAAACGAATCTGTTCGAATTCCATTTGACTGGGTGTTGGTTTTATTACACTCAGGTAATTTCTTTGTATGTGGTTTCACAACACTGCAAGCTGGATTTGTTTCCTTTGTAGTGAGTTCAAGGTGAACATGTTGCTTATCGGAGCGTATTTCACCAACGATAATCCAACCCAGGTTTAACTTTTGCGCAAATGGAGTCTTTGGTGGTCCTAGACGTTGATCAAGGACGTGATGTGCCTCTATTAGGTCTCTTCCAATGAGCAATAGGATTTTGCATTTTCCATCAATCGGAAGAATATTTTTTTGTAGTTCTTGCAAGTGTTGATATTGCAATATATCCTTAGTTGTAGCAATTTCGTTCCGATTATTGGGAATGTTATCGCATTCAATCAGTTCAGGCAGATTGAATCTAGTATTGTCTTGTACAGACTTTACGACAAAGCCGTTTAATCGTTTTCCGGAAGTAACCTTGCTGCCGGAGCATGTGGATAACATATAGTCTTTTGTTTCTTCCTGTACGTTGAATAGACTGAAGAATTCAGGAGCGGCGAGAGACCGGTTGCTTTGGTCGTCAATAATTGCATACATGCGAATTACTTTGTCCTGATTATTTTTGTGAAAGACATTCACAGGGAGTATCTTGGCACAAGATTTACTACTGTTGCCATCTTTACAGATATTTGTGCAAGTTGAACTAACAGAGGTTAGCTTGGTTTCAGCTAACTCAAGTTGCTCCCCGCCGTAGGATGTATCAATTAGCTCCCCGCCGTCGACTGATCTAGGCGGTGAAGGCGGTGCACCTTTGGGTTGGTACACTCGATTTGTGTGTAATGCGGTGGTGTGTTGTTTACTTCCGCATTCATTGCAACTGATACTTGCCTTGCAATCACGACTTCTGTGCATAGTCGAATCACAGCATTTATAACAAAGATTGTTTTGCCTCAACAGTTCCTTGCGTTCCTCTATTGATTTGGCACGGAACGCTCGGCATTCGTTTAAGGTATGCTTTGTATTATGCAAAATGCAAAGACTTTGTTGTTCACTGCTGTCTCCAGGTTGCTGTGCAATTGCTGTCTTATGAACATTGACTTTAGAATATGTTTGAGGTGTGAACTTTGGTGCAGCACCTTTTGTACTTGGTGTGACTCTTGACCCGAAAATGAACCCAGGATCGTTCTTTATTTTGCTAATTTCCCTGATGAAGGCAGAGAATTCTGTGAAAGGTGGAAATGCAACTTCATATTTAGACTTGTATCTTGAAGCCCTTGTTATCCACTTTTCTTGGAGTCCGTATGGCAGTTTTTCCACTATAGGATTTATCCCGGATGAAGAGTCGAAATACGCAAGCAAACATCCCAGCTTGGGATTTTCCTTGTGATATTCTATTTCTGAGATAATATCTGACAAATCGTAAAGGAGTGAGTTGTCCTTATTCGTCAGTGTTGGGAAGTTGACGAGTTTGTTAACGAGAGACGCCTCCAACATTTCTGGAGCACCATATCGGTCGTCAAGTCTCTCCCATAGTCTCTGTATGCCTTTTGTAGGATTATTGGCATTCGACGCTCGTATGCTAATGGCATGTTTAGCAGACTCTGGACCGAGCCACTTGATCAGAAGATCAATCTGTTCCGAGTCAGAAACTTGTAGCTCGTCTGTCACGTTTTTAAAGCTTGCTTTCCATGTATGGAAGGATTCTGCCCGGTCATTAAAGCTTGTTAACCGGGAGAATAGTAGGTCCTTTCGTAGAAGAAATCTAGTTATCTCTGATGTAGGATTAATTGGTTGCAGGTGTGTAGCGGGGATCTCTTCTTTAACACCCTGTTTCTGGTGTTCAGCAGGGATCTCCTCTGAAAGGCCTAGTTTTTGTATGCCGGTTACTATTCCCAGATCTGGGATTAAGGTAACTTCCGGTGACTTAGTATCGGAAGGCAAGACAGCAGATGTCTGTGACGGCAAGTTCAGTGCCACGGATGGCACGAACGCGGGTGCTTCATGACTAAGCTCAATCTTAACAGGAATTTGTTTTAACTTTTGATGTCCTGTTACTTCAAGTACAGCAGTTGGTACAGGATGCTTATTGACGAAATCTTTCACACGCTGGAGAGGGTCTTCCGTTTCATCAGGGAGATCGCTAAATGCTTGGCTGTCATCGTACTCTAGGATACGAGCCTCGGCTTCTGCGGCTGCAGCTTCTTTCTGTGCTTCTAGAAGGTTTAACTTGGCTTTCAGCTCGGTTTTTTCCCGGCTGACACGTGCGGCCTCCTGTTTAATTTGGGCCTTCCTGCGCATGGCCTCTTGTTCTAATTGCACTTTTCTGAGGGCGGCCTCCTGTTCTAGCTGAACTTTACGTTGAGCGACTTCTTGCTCCATTTCTGCCTTTTTACGTGTGGCTTCCTGTTCCATTTCAGCCTTTTTGCGTGCAGCTTCTTGCTCCATTTCGGCCTTTTTGCGTGCTGCTTCCTGTTCCATTTCAGTTTGTCTAAACAGGGCTTGTTCCTCTAACATTGCCTCCTGTTGTAGGATAAGGGCATGTTTTTCGACAAAGGCTATTTTAGACTTGGCAGCCTCTGCCTTGGCACGCTTTCTCCGTGCTAGGCTTGACATGTCTGACACGTTAGAGCTACCGCTGTGTGAGGTTTTCTTACCCTTTGAGGTCTTTGTTTTAGTGGATTTGGCCTTTGTTAGGGCGAGGCGATGCTCGTGTAGTTTTTCCATAACCAGTTCCACTTTGGACAGACGAAAATCCAATGAGAGATTACATGCTTCTATTTCTTTTTGACTCTCCGATGTTCTGGTCCTTTTCAGAAAGTCCAGGAGTTCATCTGTGAGCCTACGATAATTATTACAGGCTTTAACAAGTTTGTCATGGGCTGTTAGGAGTTGCTGGAGCTCGTTAGGAGGCGTGGTGACTTCCAATAACTGGGATTCGATGTCTGTCCAGAGAGCCTCTTGTTCCTGACAGAACTTGTCACGTTTTTCTGTGAAAGCTCCTTGTCCCTTTTCTGTGAGTTCACGTACTCGCCTAGTCTCGGCATCTTCATCTAAAGGTGTTGTAGTAGACGGATTCTCTATTTGTTCTTTAGAGACGTATCCCTCTGGATTTTGAATCTCGTCTTGCTGTTCCGCGTGGCTGGGATCCATGATGTAAATCAACTAACTGTAGGCAATGTTTGTTCAACGTTGTTGGTTTGCTGCCTAGGACACACAAGCTGTGTTGCGTAGTGTCAAGGTAACAGCTACGAACGATGCTCCGTTGTATTTCCTGTTCAGGAGATGTGTAGACAAGTTGTTGTCAATTTACTAGCACGAAACGTTGTCGTTGAAACTACGTTATAACTTATGGGTCTGCTGACTGTCGTGGAGTGGCGTACGTTATCCAAGAAAAACAACAGGCAAGTTGAAGCTTTTTCACTGTACTGGCCGGACCAGCGAGTTTAACCAAGATGACTGGGTTTATGTAAAGATAAAACAATCAGGAGCTGACTTTTATTTCACTACCAATCCAAATGGTGAAAAACTGAAAATACAAATAAAAATACAATTTTACAATGTGTTCAATGATAATTAAAATCCATTAAAAATACGGATAAACAGTTCGTAGATTTATAAAGCTGTTAATGTTCTTTATAATAATAAATAGATGAATATTCTTGCACACGTCGGGTTCTGTCTGAATTAAATTGTGTAATCGCAGATACGAACAGTTTGAACGGTTAAATGTTCATAGTTTCTTTATAACATAGGAAAACATATTAAAACAGTTCATCGCTGATGTAAAGACATAATTTGTAATGTTTTAAAGGTAACTCACGCTGTGGTTAGCCACGAATTGTTCCTTTGGACAACGTGTCCGCTGAATGTTCCTTGCAGTTGTGCACACGGCCTGCTGAGCAGTTTTCGTCACTCAGAAGAGAGGGGAAAGTAACATGGGTTCCTACACTGTCCTGTATAAAACTCCTAAAACTGGAGCATATAAAGTGATGTACGCAATGAAACATAAACAATGTAAAATGATGATCACATGAAGAACAAATGATGAATGAGGTCCAGAACAGTCACTTATAAGTAAAACTAGTATATATAAATAAATAATAAAATAAATTCATAAACTATACATATATGCCAGCTTGGAAGTTTAATATTTCACAATTACTAAAATATTAGCCAAAAATTCACAAGATCATCATCCTGCGTATACATTCATATTTTTTTAAAGAATTTCTTTTTGAATTTGCCAATTGGAAGGATAGAAAATCGGACAAACGACTACCTTCTTTTTTAGATCAGAATTTGAACACCGGTGTTCACTGCGTCTGAACACACATGTTAATATTTTTAACACAAACGTTAAAACTTTGAACACGTCTCTAAGCATGAACATATGACGTTGAAATATTGAACATTCGGTGTACAAATTTTGAACGCGTCCGGACGCGTCAGGCGTCAGGTATATTTACAGTGTAGCTATTAAGCATCGTTTAATGCACTTTTAGGCCTTTAGTCAACTGAAAACTGCTGTCTAATCGGTTGTTCAGAGAAATTTTCGAAAGTTCAAAAACCTTAAAAAAAAGTTCTAACTTAATATTATGTGAAAGGGCAGACTAAACTTTTTCAGAGGTTGAAGATGAATTACCCTAGATAATACACACAAAATGGATTTTTTTTGTAGTCACTTGTAAAGTCTGTAGTCAAAGGTTTTCAGTAAAAAAATTTTATCAAACAAACCCACTCTGTTGATATGACTCATTAGAAAGGTATTTCACTTGATCCATATATTTCATTATTTAGTACTGTCAGTTTTTATTGTTACTATATCAACCTGTAGCCTAAATGTATAAAAAAAAAATAGAATCTGAAGCGAGATGATGTTTCAAATATTTTTGCTTAATATGTTTTCAAGACAAAATAGTCAACTCAAACACGCCTGAACATAAAAAAATGTACTCGACTTTCCATTATCAATGACATTATTGCCCAGAATTTTTTCCAAAAAATCAGTCGCTGGGGGCAAAGACGCAAATTAATGCTTTAAAAAGATCAATCTTTTATCTTTCTGTGAAATTTTTATTGGCGGAATTTATGCTTATGCACAAAAAAGACCCACACGTATTTACACCTATCACAATCGACTGTTTTCTGAAAATTGACTTTATTTTAAAAGTTAACAAATATCTCAAAGCACCATATGGTGATTTAAGTAAAAACACGTATATAACTTTTAAAGCCAATCGAAACAGATGTAAACAATTCAAATATACCAATATGGCCTTTTTTACCTTCTCTAATAAAGAATTGGCGTTATATGGCCGAAATAAGCATTTTTAAGCAGATTTCATTTTTAAGCCTAAGAGTCATGCTGACATTCTATCTGACAGTTTTTACATTTTAATATTTGTGTTTCTATGCTTAATTCAAGTTTCATTAATCATTTGTGAACTCTGAATCTAGAGAAAAGTAGATTATCACAGAAAAAAATGTGCAAAATGTGTTGTATTTATGGTCCTGGTTCAGAACGGCCTGTTTGATGCCTGTGAAATGTGAAGAGCTTTGTACATAAAAGTTGAAATCCATCATAAATATTTCACTAAAAAAAATGCACTTTACAATGATAAGTGCACCTTAGTCATTTCATATACTACCTTTATTTTCTTCTGTAGGATACTAAGTGATTCAAATATAATTTTTATTATTATATATGCCTGTTGAGACTAAGACTCCATGCAGGTTTTGCACTGAAAAGTGAAGAAAATGTCCATCAGTCCATACTGTCTGCAAAAAAGTTGAATGCAAGAGTCCTTTTGCATTCAGACTTCTTGTATCATGACATCTTAGCATAAAAATGAGCGAAAAGTAACAAATATCTATTTCTTATAGCTTCTGTATGCATTTTTATATGTAAATATGTGTTACGGCCTAAATTGATCCAAAATAATTTTCAGTCTTACATGGCCTTAGACCATATAATACTCATGTGGTAGGTCTGAGTCAAGTTTTATCTGCTAAAAATGTAAAGGTGTCCAAAGATGACTAATAAGGATATATCTGATGTTTTGGTAAAACAATCTTATAACGGTTCACGAAAACAGCTGTTAAAATATATTACTTAGAATTAAGGAATATATTCAGTGAAATTTAAAATTTCCATTCATGAATACAAATAATTTAGTACTTCCAATTCTGGAAAACTTACTTTTTATTACTATGACAATACAGCTGAAGAAAACTCTTGTAACATTATATGTAAAATGTATATGTGCGTTGTATTTGCAATTTTTATTTTGGCAGCTTTTCATGATATATCTGTTATTGAAATTAGAATATAAATTCTGCAAATTTGCCAAAATATGTGTATAAAGGTTGGTGTATATCTTGGGGGATTTTTTTTAAGGATTCTTCAATTGAATTTTTATCATAAAATTTGAAAATAACACTTTAGAATTATTGTTTGATAAATGAAAATGGAACTTGGATCTCTGAAATCAATTTAAAAAAAATTGTAATAATGCGTCTCTAAAATAAATGCTTATTTTTAACTGGAAAAGAGAAGAATAAAACAAGTGAAAATAACAAATTAATAGCTATGGTGTCAATAATTTAATAAGCTTAAGAGCTCTGAAAGATTTTGATACAGTAAAAATGGCAAATTCATTGGTATATTTTTAACATGCCCTGTATATTACTTCATCTTATTCCCACCAAATTAATTAGTCAGCAGTTTTTCTGTGCTTTTGATATTGTGCTTAGAAGACTGTGTTCTTTGTTGTCTGGCATTGTTAATTTTGTTGTAAGAAAACAATTTTATTGAAAATAAATATGCAGTTCTTTCATGTCTTTTTGTTATGTGATAATTTCATTAAATCTATTATGAAATGAAATACAGCAGTTCTAAGTGGTGCCATGTTTACTTTACCAACTTTCATGTGGTTGTGCATTGTATCCATACAATATTGAAAACTAGGATACTATTACAGATTATTATACTTCATGTCCAAATGCCAGATTTTGATTGGTTAATATGAGGGAGACAACTTACTCTATCCCATGGCAGATACTCTATTACCCTTCACGGAGACGCTTGCTCAAGTGTGCGCTTTAATAAATACGGATGATAGTTTATTACTTTGAATTTGAAATTTAATAGACAGTAATAACAGAACATTCAGTATAATAAATTAAATTACACATATCTGAGAGGGTGATAGAGCAGATTGTTACCCCTCGAAAAGACATTGTCAACCTTGGCTTCGCCTCAGTTGACAATGTTTTCTCGGGGTAACAGTCTGCTCTATCACCCTCTCAGCTATGTGCTATTTATATAATGTTGATATGAATGAAATATATTTGATATATACATGTATATATCAATGAGATATCAATCCAAAAGCATACTAAGTCATGAAAAGAGTTCAACACATGGTCTTCAAAAGATGCTTCAAAATTGTCCCTAAATTGACAAAATTGTTGGACAACACTGTCATAGGATATGCTGAGTGAGGTATCTATACTATTAAATGAGAAGACCTCATTTTGTGTGTCGCTTCTCTTCCTTCCACATTAAATCAATCATAATGCTTTTATGTCCTATAGGTACCATACATAGTCGCATTTGTCATCCTCGCTTATAAATATTTCGTTTGGTTTTTTTATGAGAAAAACGAAAATAAAGACGTCCGGATATTGTTTCCATCCCCGGACTGAATCATAGTTTATACAAACAATATCGTCTTTGTAGTTGTGTATGGTGTACATTTTTGTCCTGTGTTAATTGTTGTCCCACAATGTAAACATACTTTTTGAAGGTTTTTATTGGTGGTGTTTTATTATCTGTAAATAAAGGCAACAGTAGTATACCGCTGTTCGAAACTCGTAAATCGAAAGAGATAAAAACAAATCCGGGTTACAAACTAAAACTGAGGGAAACGCATCAAATATAAGAGGAGAACAACGACACAACAAAATCACAACATTAAAATGTAACACACACAGAAACGAACTATAATATAACAATGGCCATTTTCCTAACTTGGTACAGGACATTTTAAGAAAAAAATGGTGGGTTGAACCTGGTATGTAAATATGCAAATGAAACAAATCCTTATAGATCTAATATTTTCTTAGTTCTGATGTAACTCTCTTGATAGCCAAGCTCAAATATAATATCACAATCCACAAAGTCCCCAATGGTGAGTTTTAAGTCAAAAGTAAATTGTAACAAGTCAAAATTTTATAAAACTCACCATCAGTGAAATTTAGCGTTATGGATCTAAAACAACTCCCTAATAATGAAATGTTAGCATAATTGATAAAGGGGGTATCTGTGTGTAAACCAAAACATAGTCCCAATAAATCATACTGGCTCAAAGCAGACAGAACTTTCAAATGAATAATATTTATTAATACAATAAATTCAATAACAAAATATTTTGGCCCTTGAGAAATACTCAGCATAATTAAGAATTTAGGAGTTCCTGCCGAGCAAGTCAAATTGCAACCTGTAGTGTGAGGAAGAACCTGCCTGCCCGACAATACGCCAGCCGGGAATGTGAAGCGAGGGGTCTCCACGAAGGGGATGCGACTAGGCGTCTCATCTGCAGCCGGGGTGTGCAAGGTCTGCATGGGGGATAGCCCATGTGGTGCTATTACAAGTAGTATGTAGCAGGGTCTATCAATCTGGCGCTGGAATAAATTTGATAAAATTTTCCCCGAAATGCTTGGGGATGAATGAAATTTTAGAAATGACCAGTGATAAAATTCCTTCAAGGAAAACAAGTAATGAAATAAAAAATATCACTGGTAAAAGCTGAGATGTTCCTCATGTCATGAACATTATTGAAGGTGTTTAGAAGGGGTTGGTGGGGGTTAAATTGAATTCTAGCACTGTAAAACTGTCAAATTGAACTTAGTTTGACTGCTTTGAACCAAGAAACTGATTGCACAAAGACCATGTATATGGCTTAACACACAGATTTTGGGTACATCAATCATCTAGTGGGAGGAGACTGACAGTTTATATATACTTATTAAAGTGTAATTATTTTTATGAGACTGGAATTATTCTGCCTTTCATCACACACAGTGAATAATTGTAATATGTATCAGATTAAGAATAGATTAGTATGTCCCCTGGTGAGTTTGCAGTGTAACTTTAAAGTGTCAAATTCCAGAGAAATTAATCTCAAGATGTAGCATGTGGTCTGTGTAAGTTAATTAAATGTATCCAAGATGTCCGCATGTTTACTGGAAAGATTAATTATCAAAGTTGGCTGGAAATATTGTTTGTATAA